TTTCCTTGCTACTATTCAATAAAGTCTGTTCAGTAAAGAGTGATCTACAACTCTGTCCCTGTCTGTTTGTTGTTGAGCAAATTTGAATTGATCCCTAGCCCCTCCCAGACCCTTCCAGCGTGCCATTCTCTGCCCCCTTCTCTGATCTGCCCATAGTGCTTCCCAGGATAATCTCCCTTTCACACATCTGAGGGGGTGGGCTCTGACCCAGGGAAGCTCCTGTGAAATCAGTGTTGTCTGTTGTCATGGTGCCACTGGACCTCTGTTTCATTTAGCAGCAAACTATAACAGTCCAGTGGCGCTTTACAGGCTGATGACATGTAGTTCACTCTGAGTTTTCATGTGTTGCAGCTTACCTCTTCAACAGACTGACACAGCCACCCCTCTGCACTCCCCACCACCTTCACACTCACACACTCTGCTGGTGTCGGGTAGCCCCACCATGGGTTTCTTCCCCTCTTGTCTGTGGAATGTGTATTGCTCTGCAGCTGCATTTCGCTTTAGCTCCTTATCTGCCCATTGGCCTTGAGCACTCTTCACTCCGGCGAAGCATCTCCCGCTCACCCCTGAACCCCACGCTCTGCATTATATTGCTTATTGGCTCCTAGGTGTCAGGGGGTATTGTATGAACCCACTATAATTGCTATTGCCATTTTGTATGTCTCATTCTTGACTCAAAGAGTCTAAGTCGACTTCACCTTGCTCAAGTCAATAAAGCTGAACCTGTTTATGAACCTGCTGTTGATACTGAGTTATTGAAGTATCTGACAGTTGGCTGCTGCATACCGTTCTTAGGGCAGTGGGCTAGGGGTGGTCCAAGGGGAGAGGTGTTTGCTCTACAATGGGGGTAGGTCTCTGCATCTGACACTCCCCCACAGCACTGTTTGAGTCTTATAAGCCATTCAGGTTCGTGGTGGAGGCACATAGGGGAGCAGGGTGGAGGGGCACAATTGTGCATCACAGAGGGATCTTGAGGGGGTGTATCAGTCAAAATGATGAATGTCTCGAGTGGCCTATCAGCTGGGCTATTCTGCTCCCCCTTTTGCAGTGGAGTGCCTAATGACTGATGCCATGTCTACTTTGCACCTGTCTTCTTGGCCCAGTGTTTTAGGCTGCTGGTCTTGGATGTGGAGACTGAGATTCAAGCCCAGCTTCTCTCTTTTTCCTGTCCTTTTTGGGTGGGAAAAAATTGTGTGACTTGGAGAAATAATGGCTGTGAATAACCAACACTTTTGTTGGGGGCAGGTGGGCAACCTGTCTGTTGGGTGGGTGGCCTTCTCCTGTGGGCTGTGGAGAGAAACTAGGGCCACATTCCTCTATTGGGGCTGCATGATTGCTGAGTATTTCCTCTGTGTACTCTGGCAATCCTGGGATGTGTGGCATCAAGGGGCAGTGGCTGCATTGGCAGATGGTGATTGGCTACACCCATGTGTGCTACTCAGAAGAATGTTATTGGGCACCACTGCTTGATTGGTGGGTATTGCTGGGGTTGCTGTGGATTCCAGCATGCTTGCTATGCGGTCTTCACCTTGTGAAGGGGCATGTGTTATTCCCCCCTCTCTACAGAGTGTCCATAGGGATCTGACCAGGGCCACTAATATTACATGGGTGGCTGGCCACCACCACTACAGAAGCCCTCAAGATTGGGCTGAAAGTTATCAACCTTTCTTAGGAAAAAGTGTTTTCAGGCACTGTCACTAATTGTCACTTTGGTTCAGTTTAGATATTTAAATAATAGTCACCTCCAATTCTAGAATGTATAAGTAGAGCTACTTGGAATTATACAAGGCCAAGCTAGCTATCACCAGGGCTGGAGACTTTTTAGTGGTGGCCCCTACCTGGTGGAATGAGCTCCCAGAGGAGATCAGGGCCCTGTGGGACCTTTTGCAGTTCCGCAGGGCCTGTAAGACGGAGCTCTTCCACCAGGCATTTAAGTAGGGGCCACCGCTACTGCAGGCCATTACTGCAGGCCCCTACTGCAGGCCATTACTGCAGAGCTTGGTCTGTGGTTTTAACATCTAACTGATTATGAGCAGAAACATCGTGGAAAATCTGGGCAGTGGAAATTTATTCTAGTAATATACCATCTAGGTTAATTTAACAGCCGCCAGCACTTTGTATTTATAATGTTTTTATTGTATGGTTAAATATTGTGTAATTGTATTGTATTATGCTTTTATGGAAGCCGCCCTGAGCCTGCTTGCAGGGAGGGCGGGGTATAAATTTGATAGATAAATTAAAAAAAATCTGAAAATGATCTAGAAAAGGGACTGTCTGCCATAATCAGGCTGCTCTGAGCCTGCCGTGGCGGGGAGGGTGGGGTATAAATCTAATAAAATAAATAAATCTCAAGTTTTTTAAAGTCTCTGCTATTTGTTTATTCTACCAAAATGTACAGCAAAAAGCATGTTTTGCAGACTGAGACTTCTTCATATTGAAAACATTGTAGCATCAATTTTTGTTAAAAATGTGGAACATCTCAGTGCGCATCATAGGACATTTATCTAAAGTTCTTCCGGCAGTACTCAGAAATACTGGAAACATGAGGGAAACATTTTCTTCTCTCATTTCTTTTGTTCTATCTCTCCAAGACCTTAAACATAGAAAGCTTTGAAGTGTGCTAGAGAAATAACTTAATATTACACCACAAGATCTTCACACTGCCTTGGAAGAGTTCAATTGAAGGGTGTTACCTTTCTATGAGACACTCAAGCTTCTATGTAGGGATTGGCATAAAGTGAACCACGATGCAAAAAATCAGTACAATTTCCCCCCAGTTTGTGGTTTGCAAAATGAAGTTTGTGATGGGTCTACCATTACGAACTTCCATGATTTTTTAAAGCAGTTTGTAACAGTTTGTGGTGGTTAGTGGATAGAGAAGAAAGCATGGGTTTAAAGGAACTCTGTGTCCCTTTAAACCCCTGCTTTCTGTTCCCTGCAAAAGCCATAAAAACAGCTGAGAGGTGGGGAGTGCCTGCTCCTTGCCGCTCAGTTGTTTTGGGTTGTCTTATGCAGTCCACTTTAAAGGGACTGCACACAACAGACCAAAAAACAACTAAGCTATGGGGAGCACCTGCTGCCCACTGCTCAACTGGTGCTCCCCACCACTCGGCTGTTTTTTGGACTGTCTTCTGAAGTCCCTTTAAAGTTTAAAGAGACTGCACAAGACAGCCTGAAACAGCTGAGTAGGGATGGGCACAAACCTAAAAAATTCAGTTCAGGGTTCGGGGGAAAGCGAAATGGAGGGGCTAAATAGCTTGCAGCTATTTAAACCTAACAGTGGATGGGCAGACACACTATGCTGTTAGGTTTAAATAACTGCCAGCCATTTCAGTGCTCCATTTCGCTTCCCCCTGCTCTGAAGCAGGAGGAAGCAAAATGGAGTGTAGAATGGCTGGCAGCCATTTAAACCTAACAGGTGAGCTGCAGACCTAAACTGAACCGGGCAAAATTCCAGGAAATGTTGAGGGAAGGCACCTCCCACACATCTCAGTTTGGGAGCTATGAACTGGGCCAAATTTGTGCCAATTTATGGCTCATGAGCTGGTTTGTGCCTATCCCCACAGCTGAGCAGTGAGGAGCAGATGCTCCCCACTGCTCAGCTGTTTTTTGGGCTTTCTGCAAACCCTGTTTACAGGGACTGCAATGCCTTTCAATGGGGTTTGTGGGGCCATGAACCACAAACAATTTTGGTTTGCAAATGAACCTCCTAGTTAATTTGTAGTTTGCCACAAACTGACACAAACTGCATTTTTCCGGTTCATGTCTATCTTCTATCTGCAGTTAACTTTCTCAGGGTTCTTCAGGTCTTAATGTGTTTATTATTAAATTTACATCAAATACATATAAAAAAAATTCTTCAAAATATGTAGTCTTTCTTTTCAAATATTTTCAAAGATCCTCCCAGATTTTGCTTCCATTTATTGTGTCAATGCAAGATGCTCCATTCTTTCACTTTTAGAAATGGAACACTAGAGATTTTAGTAACACTATTGCCAGAGGAACATGAGTCTTAGCAACACAATATTTCAAGCTATTTATCAAGTAAGCAAACATAACCAAAGGAGTCTTTTGATTTTCGTTGACTCCTAAACAAAGACATTAGATCCTCGGGATAGATTGACCATTAAGGCCACCTGAAAATGTCGTGCCTAGAGCTCCCGCTCCTGGGCCACACTGGCCCTGAGTGGTGTGACTTGTCCTATACAGAATGGGAGCTGCCACTGCATGTTTGTGGCCCTCAGCACATGTGCGGCAGATGTGAGCTGTCACAAGCCAGCAGTCTTTGCCTTGCAGAAACCAACCAAGGCAGTGTTCTTGCAAAGGTTTCCTGCAGATTGGAAGAAGGGTTTGACTTTTTAATTCCTACTGAGAACATTAAACAGTGCTGAGAGTATTGACTGAATTAGGAGCCTTTGTTGTTGTTATATGATTTTACGCAGCATTTGTATTTCAGATTGTAAAGTAGATGCTTTAGACTGTAAGATGAAGAGAGATGCACATTTAAAACAATTCTGACCCATTTCTTTCATGACCATTGTATTTACCTTTAATTGTTATATCTTTTTTTAAAAAGCTCTGACTAGAACAGTGGGCTCTAGAGTAAATAAATACAAAAATAACTAATGTTCAAAACCAGCATTGAGAAGCTGAAGATGCTTTCCCCAACTATGGGTTGAATCCTGTCAAAAGATCCACATATGCATGGGAGTGGGGATTTCACCTTTCTGTAACAGCTTTCCAACTCTCTCTCATGTTTCTCTTGGAGGGGGTCTATCAAGAACAGCATTTGAGGGGTAATTTGGTGCTGCTTTGGAAGGCAGAAGGCGGGGAATCTGTGCTTCAATGCATGAAATTTAGATGGGATCCAATCCTATGGCTTCAATCCTAAATACACATTTTTGAATAACAAAGGGTTGACTTTTGAGTATACCTAAATAGGATTGTTCTCTTTGATACAGATTTTGAAGTATACAAATGATTTTTACTTGTTTTGTCAGATAGAAGAATTTCGAAGACTGAGGACACATGTTAAAGGAGCAGAACTCCTAGAAGGCTGCGATGGAATTCTAGGAGATAACTTTAGGCCCACACAGCCACTTAGTGACAGAGTCATAAGGGCAGCCTTCCAGTAGTAGAGAGAAACAGGGAAAGAATCCTGATGTAGGTAAGTAATAAAATATCATTAATATGTATCAAGTAGAAATTTTTGCTAAACTTACATAGCATACATGATAGTTTCCTTTTAAAAAGAACGAAGTGGGAACATTGTATTTAATTCAAAATGTACTTTTCCTTCTTATTTATCACTAAGAATAACAGGGGTAACTAGTATATGAAGTATTCATCTATTAGTGCTCAACAAATAATAAATACAACTTATTTATAATTTAATAAATATAAATTATTCATGATGGTTGCATGTGCTAAGAGGTCAGACTTCGCAATACCTCTGTCCTGAACTCTGAACTTTTCAGTGACTCTGGACTCTTCTGCATTCTCATTTTCCTCGCTTGTGTGTTCCTGTTGCTTTGGGTTTTTTCTTTTCTTTTCTGTGCATATTTTGGTCCCCATAGCAGTCAATTTGATATTACATCACTGTAGGTCTGGCATAAGAACTTGCAGTTTAAATCTTGCCTGAAACCAGGTCAGGGAAAGATCAATGCCAAGTAAGGGGAAACCTGGAAAGTATATGATTAAGGAAAAGTGGAAGCATACAGTGTTCGATCTGGGGGAAATCTGCATGTAGAAACAGCCAGTATGATGTACACGCTCAAAAACCCACTCTAGTATGAAGCCAAACCAGAGCGAAACTTTTGTGTCATCTTCAGTTCTAATTTGATTTCATAGGAAGCCTCCTTTCATGTCATCAGATTTCACTTTCAAACAATTTGAGAATGCTGCCTGTTCAGATACAATTTCTCATTCAACAAAGATCAGTCCCCTTAGCCTTAGGGAGGAATTGTTCCCCTATACATGGTCTGATGATCTATTTGGTATTTGGCACCTCTACAGTTTAAGAAAGTATTTTCTTAAGATATGCTATGTTTAAAACATACCAAAAGTTATGTAGACTGTTGGGAGGATAGTTAATGTTTATATATTTGTAGAACTTTACAGTGCAGTCCTAAACAGAGTTACACCCTTCTTGGCCAGTTTACTTTAATAGATTTAGAAGGGTTTAATGCTGCTTAAGAGTGTCCTGTGAGTTACTGGTGAGAATTGTAGCAAGTTTCAGCAAAATTTATAATAGAATAGGGGACACAAATGTTAAGCAATAGCGTTTTAAATTGATCATCCCATCTTGGAGTAAGATATTATAAAAATAAAGAAAAAATTAAAAACTCCAAACCTTCAAGAATTCAAGTCAAGCATATTGCAAGTATGGTTACAACTAATGTTAAATGTTGTCTTTTCTTGTAAAAACTTTGAGACTGATCATAAATAATTGGTCATCTTATATACCCTCCAAAACAGGACCAGGATTGCTAGGCCTGGCCTAGAAACCAAGACCAGGGGAACATGGGGGGGGGGGAGGCTGTTGGCTGATAGTGTGATGTTGCTTCTGGGAAAATCTGGAAGTCACTTCATGCTTCTCTAGGAATTGACCAAAACTCAGTGTTAAAGTGCTTTTGGTGATTCCTAGAAAGGTGTGACATTATTTATAAGTTTTCACAGAAGTGATAACAAGCTGTTGACCTATGGACTTAAAAAAAATATTTCCCCCCCTACTGCCTCTCAGAGCAGCAGCAGGTTTAGCAGGAATTACCAACAGGGGGCAGGGTATCCCTTACCCCAACCAGGGGCTGGCAACCCTAGGCAGGATAATTGATACCTAAAGCATCCACAACAGATGCTGATTCAATTATCAAAGTTACAACAGATTGTATTACATTGTTGTTTTGACAGTGCTAGTTACCTATCATTCTCCAAGTCATACTGGTAATTTATTCTTAACCAGAGTAAACACATTTTATTTATTTATTTATTTATTTTTTAATTTATATCCCACCCTCCCCACTGAAGCAGGCTCAGGGTGGCTTACATAATATTATAACAAGTTAAAACAGTTAACAAACACTTGAATAGAAATGGTGCTGATATAGAAATAAGGGCATAGCTACCTGTAGTGGGTTTACACATGAAAGACTATTATATAGTGAGAAGATAGTGAATCTTTACAGAACCTCATGAATCCAATCTATTTGCTCATTTTCACTCTATCCCAGGCTTCAGGCCTGCACCGCCCAGCCAATTTGTGCATTACAATGCTGAATGCAGTAAACAGCTGCCTGGGAGAAAGCATGACATGGACAGGTGCTGGCACTTGCATGCAATTTGGGCCACAACAATTTTTTAAAAGCTAGGTAAGTCTCAGGTTACTTGGATCTTGCTGGCTAACTGAGCACTATGAAGATGTGTGACCACCAACTTACCCCAGGGAGTGACATCTCAAGGGGACTGCCAGGAACCCCCCAGTCTTCAGGGAGGGATGTAGTAAGCTTATCTTTGCTTGAATCTGCCTTGTTACCACCCTGCTTATAATACCGTGTTAAACCTTAATAAACACCATCTTAATCACAAGTGATTGGGCCTCCTTTGGAGTATACCATGAACCTAAAAGAAGAGTCTGGTAGGTCCTGATTCTAAAGTAAGATGCTGTTCATTAGATTTCCCTGGGATGGGTCAACACCCACATCCTTGAGTTTTGAGCTTTTCAGGCATACATGGGCCTGTTGGGGAAGACTATTGCTCTACTGGGGAAGACATTTGTGGACCATCAGTGTATGCTGATAATTCAGAATTGGGCTCCCGGAACCGTCCTTAGAGGAGTTCGGGTCACAATGCAGAACCCCTGAATAGAGCAAATTCTGGCTCCCTGTGGCTATTTCAGAGTGCTCAGAGTTTCTACTATGAAACAGGAGATGGTACCTAGTAGCAGGCTGCAATTAAAAAATGCATTGTAAGTCAATTTAAGTGGGTTGCCCCAGACAGACACAGGGACAGGGGAACAGAGAAAGACCAAATGCAAAGAAAGATAGAGCTTAAATTATTCTATAATGTGTGGAAACTGGAATTTAAGCTGGGACAGTTTTTCATACTGCTGCATGGATACACTGCTATCTTCCAAAATTCTCTCTCTTACACTATTATTAAAAGAGATTTCCCTTTGTATGTGGTTAGCCTCTAGAGAAATGATGCACATTTATGGTAGATTATTAAAAGTAGATCCCGTGTTGCAGTATTTTTTTAATTTTGATACAAAATCAGCTCTGCAGAATCAGCAATAATAATGAGAAGAAATAGAAATGAAATAAAGTGAAAGGGTAAAGGGAACATGCAGTGCAACAGGGAGTTAACATTGAGTACAAATTATGGGTTGGCAAAGAGGTATTTTCCTCTGACTGAGAGGCTATTTCCGGACTTCAGTCAGGCGTTTGCATATTTCACACACCTGAAGGCAAAATTTTGCAACTTTGTTAGTTGTCTTCTTGGAAAAGTCTGCAAGAAGGAGGTAGACATATAGTTGTTCAGTTCTTTCTGATGAAGTTGACAGAATTGGAGCTATATATTGAGATCGGATATCGTTGTAAAATGGGCAGTGCAGTAGAACATGTTCAATAGACTCTACTTTTCCTGCATGACATGGGCAGAGCCGTTGAGAGACTGGGATGTGATGGTATCTGCCTTCCAGGAGGGCTGAGGGTAGAACGTTAAAGCATGCAAGAGTAAAGGTTCTCTGATATTTGGAGATCATGAGGGATCTGAGGTAATCTGCTGATTGAAAGAATTTAGTATACATATACTGAAGAATAATTGGATGTTTCTGTGTCTGTGCTTTGTCCAGTTGTAGAGCTTGATCTCAGAGACACTGTTTAACTGTTTCTTTTGCAGTGTGTATTTAAAGGTGGGTCCTGGGTTGGACAATGT